ATTGGCAGAATGCAGTAGGTTGGCCAGTTTGGGGAACGGGTGTACTGGTGGTGACCATTTGGCCATTTAGCAGATCACCAGGCCAATGACCCTGCAGTTTCCTACAGTCAGTGTTCCCTGGCTGGGTTCTGGTGCTTAAAGGATGGAAGCAAGATTTAACAGAAATTAACAAATTTTGAGTAACCATACTGATTAGAGCTTATATTGATATTTCACCTGATTGAGGAAACAGTGCTGAGCCTTTCTAAAGGAGCCCATAAAACTCTCCACACCAGTTATGTTTTTTACTGAGTGAGGTTCAGTTGGCCAAGTCCTGGAAAGACCAGGATGCTGGCTCTGAGCTGTGTTCCGTGACCTTGTGGACATGAGAAAATGGTAGACTTAAGGACTTACTCTTACATACTTTTTTGCCCTAGATACATTAAGAAGACATACTGGAGCTCAGACAGACTTCTGTACCGAGAGTGTCTTGGTCCTCTAGCCTGGTCTACCACAGTCTGCTGTGCTTCTTCAGGATCCCAGGGGGACTACACATGCTTTTCTCCCTTTACAGTTGCAGTTAAAACATGGGCTCTGCCCTAGCTAATGGACTGCTTATTGGCTTCTTTCTAGTCTTCATGAGAGTGCTAATGATTTCACTGAAGACTCCATTTTTCAACTTAGATAGAGACCTGTTTTTTGCTAAAACAGAGATTCTCTACAAATTAGATTTCATGCTCAGTTAATCAGAGCAGCAATCCCTTAATCCCTTAGCAAGAAAGACATAAACGTGTCAGCACTGCCACCTCCCTGTCTGCATTTGCAAGCTCTGAGCAGCAGCAGCAGTTCAAACAGGTGAGTATTAAGTAATCAGGCCACCTCTGCAAGAGACCTACATTCAAAGCTCCCTGCTTCACTGATGCCTTCAAATGTAAACCTGACAACTCTTCCAGTACAACACTGATGATTTCTCTCATCTTTCAGCTGGCTTCAGTGTTGCAACTATGCTGTTGGGGACTTTTTTCCCCTGACTTTCTATTCTTTATTCTCCTTCTCTTTAAAATTGTTTTCCTGTCTGTCATTGCAGATCGTGCCCTGCAGTTCCTCATATTGGTTCACTGATCCTCACTGGCTTGCTTATTCACTTCTTTTTCTCTTGCACATCCTCATCTCTCTGCTGGAAATCCCATAGCCAGGCTGCACAACGCATCTGTGCTCTTCTGCCTTAGACCTTGCATCTTCCTGTCTAAACCACCTGCCTCTCCAGTTCACAGCCTTGAATGGCTTTTTCTCATCTCCTCATATCATCTCCGTGTTCTGCTTTTTTTCCTCCCTAGGACCATGCTATTTCTTCCAAGAGATAATTGAAAAAATGTTACTCACTCCCACTCCTATTCATTTGTTTTTCCTTTCTTACCATACAACTGCTTTTCCCACCTCTTTCAGTGCCGTAACTGCACCCACATTTGTCCCACTAACCTTCTCTCCCCTGAGCAGCCTTGCACTCGTCCTGTCTCACCCTGCCTTTTATTCTTTTCCTTACTTAATCTGGCTCCTCACTTTAAAATATACTTTAGTCTCTCTGATTTAAAAAACAAACAAACAAACTTTCCACCTCCCTCTTCTCTGCCCTTGTTTCTGTTATTTTTCATCTCAACTCACTCAACGAAACTCCCTTTGCTTGCTTTGTGAGGTTTAATGCTTTGGGCAGAGGGACTCACGTTGTACCTTCTCTTGGGTATAGTATCTGACTGTATTAGTCTCTTGGTTATCATCTTATGCTTTGACTTTAAATTGTTTGGGGCAGACCCCATCTTTTCATCCTGGGTTTGCAAAGAACTGAGCATGACTGTGTTCCCTTCCCTGGCTAGAGCTCAGAGCTGCTGCAGCAGCGCAACTAATAAATAATGACAGAATGATGCATTCAGTGCTTTATCACTGCCATCCACTGGCTGTCTTTGATCACGACACTTTATATTTGATCTTCAAGTTTTGTTTCTGTCTCATCAGCTGCTACTGAAGTTGAATATATTACTGTAAGCACACTATTTGAGAGTAATGGAAATGGCAGAAGTCTTTATGTTACATTCCTTCCAAATAAAAGATGCATACCTTTTGTTTCTATTTGGCTTTACAAAGTGAAGTTTTGAGGTTGGTAACCCAAGTACTGAAGAATCAGGGGATTCTAGGTTAAACTGTTATGTACAATTAATTCATCTGCATTACCTGAATGATGTGTATATTTTGTAATGCATTGTGGCTATGCTTTAGAAACATGCAATACCTAAAATTAAGCACATAGATAGATGCAAAAGGGAAATAGGATAAATTGGGAGTAGTCTAAATTTTGTGTGATACTTCCCCTGAAAACTATTCCAGCATCCACCTCATTTAGGAATGTTGTGAACCAGAGTGATTCCTCTATTTTAATAATCTTCGGTGGGTTTCCATTCCATGAGCACATTAGTTTTTTCTTGAACCCATATTGTCATGGTTTAACCCTGGCCAGCAGCTCAGCCCCGCACAGCTGCTTGCTCGCTCCCCCCCACCCCCGGCAGGATGGAGGAGAGAATCGGAAGCGTGAAAGTGAAAAAACTTGTGAGTTGAGATAAAGAAAGTTTAATAGGTAAAGCAAAAGCCATGCACATAAGCAAAGCAAAACAAGGAATTAACACTACTTCCCGTCGGCAGGCAGGTGTTCAGCCATCTCCACGAATGCAGGGCTCCGTCAAGCGTAGCAGTTACTTGGGAAGGCAAACACCACCACTCCAAATGCTGCTGCCCCCTGTTCTTTCCTTTTCCCCCAGCCCCTTAAATGCTGAGCATGACATCATATGGTATAGAATATCCCTTTGGTTCGTTGGGGTCAGCTGTCCCGGCTGTGTCCCCTCCCAACTCCTTGTGCACCCCCAGCCCACTTGCTGGTGGGGTGGTGTGAGGAGCAGAAAAGGCCTTGGCTCTGTGTAAGCACTGCTCAGCAGTAACTAAAACACCTCTATATAACAAAAACATCTCTATATTATCAACACTGTTTTCAGCACAAATCCAAAACAGCCCCATACCAGCTACTATGAAGAAAGTAAAACTCCATCTCAGCTGAAAATGCTTTGTGGTATGTTTTCTTTATTTTTTTCCTTGATATTTTATCTTTTTAAACTTTCCCCTTGTTCATTCCTTGGTTTTCTTTTACTTCATTTCTGCAATATAATTAAGCTTATTATAATTAGGCTAACTGATATATGATTAATATTCCATGGTTAAAACAACTTGCCTTTTACATTTCCTAATGTGCTCCCATCTTAAACAGTGGCAGGAATATTTACCTCCTTTGTACGACAGCTCCTCTGTGACAAGAGACTGTGAAAATCTATCCAGATGTGAGGTCAAATAAATTTTATACGCAGATATGTTTTAAGAAAATTTTGAAAGGAAGAATAGATACAAATATTCAAAGGAAAACATGTCCCAAGTGTTTCAGTAATTCCACTGTTTATCCAATTTACTGCCGTGTGCTGAAATATTACCCAGAATTCTAGGAAATGCAGAAGTGGATTATGAGTTCAAGGGTGAAGCAGTAATTGAATTCTTAATTGCAATGACTCATCTAAGCAACACAGTGACCTGGATGGCCCCCCTGAATGTAAAAGTCTTTCCAAATGGTATGCTCGCACAGGTGCTACATGAAAATCTTGACTCTTGTCCATCTAAAAGGTTATCTGTCAGGGGAAGATTTGCTGGAAGGGGGTCACTATTTGCAAATGAAATGCATTTTTCCTTATGAAAAGGCAAGATGGATTGGGTTTTTTTCCTTATCCATTTTGTCTCAACAAAAATTGGTCACACTAGGCACAAAGCTTACTAAGTATTTCAAATCTACAGGGCTTAATGGAGGTATGGACCTTACACAAATCCTCTGTAAAGGCATGAATTTTTCTCATCTTGACACTTACACAGAGAGCTATAATTAGATGGACTAATCAACATTTCTAAAAGTGATATGTAAGCTAAAAATAGCAGTGTTCAATTATAATGACTACAAGTTAAATATTAGGTGAAATTTCACTTATTATATGAAAACCTTTTTCCTTTTTTGTGCATACTCTGTTATTTTTTAAAGAGAATATTGATTGGATTTTGCCTTATTAAAAAACAGCGTTTATATTAATGTTGGATTTTTAATGCGTTGGACTTCCTCATTCACTAGGGGACTCCTACAAGCCTAATCCTTTATTTTAGTGGTTTATACTTGAAGCATAAACACCTATTTGACAGTGAAATTTGGAGCAGATAAGGCAAACAAACAAACAAACAAAAGTTATTCTTGATTTCTACTGCTTTCAAGTGACTAGAAGCTACGATATTTAACATGTTTTTACTGTCTTACAAATAAACAGAGATTTGCATCTGACTTCCACCACCCATGCAACCTAGGGTCTGCAGATACTTGAAAAGTATCATCCCCTAGCAGAAAATACACACATCACAGAAGAATAGTGAGAGAGGACAGAATAACTTTCCAAAGGCATTTTGTTAAAATTTTGCCTTTTAGTTAAAAGGGTATTTGAAATAATTTTTGCCTCTCTTGAATTTATTAATTTCTGCCAGCTGGTAAATCTTTTCTCTAAAAACCTAAAAACACCTGGTGCAAATAAATGGAATCTTCTTAAGAACATTAAGAAGCAGAAATTGAGTTTTGTATCACTTCTCTTGAAAAGAACTTAATAGCCAGGAAATCAGAGTTCTCCTTAGTGTTTTGATACACCAGTACTGACTGTCTTCATTATTCCGTCAAAGCTAATAAAGCGCATAAACACATCAAGTACACCCTCATGATATCCTTACTTTCAGAAAAATGCAGAAACAAGTACAAGCTTCATTAAAGAAATAAACAAACAATTATCCGTTACTTCAGTAGCATAAGTGATTACTGTCTTTGAGATCCAAAAGAAATTTCTTGTGGCTGGAAAAATCTTAAGACAGAGGACAAAACATAGGCTAAAAGTATTTTATAATGTACTTACATATCACTGGCAATGGAGGAGTTCCTGGACATAGACTTTGGAGAAAGGTCATAGTCACTGTCTGACCGGTAAAGGAAAGACTCCCTACGTTGACTGTGGACAAAATTCGCCTGAAGAATTAGCCCTGATCCAGGGCTCGTCATGGGATCCAAGGGACTTCGTCCCGATGATGTACCATTGTCTACATCGAAACTGCAAAAAGAAAGGAGAAAAAGATTTACGCCATTGACATAAGAATTTTGAAAATAATAAATACTCTTCTGACAAATTTATCACTAGGTAATCGCTTCTTGACAATAATGGGGAAATAAAGACCTGGCCAAGTCCACTGCTAAGCCAAAAACCAAGGCACACAAGAAATATACTTTAAAATTGCTGATAACCAGAAAGAACAAGTCTGTTCTTTAATAAATTTGGTAGAGAAAAAAACCCCACACTACTAGGAATACAGGAAGCCTCATGCTTCTCTGCATGTAGAGTATCCATGAGCTCTATACCTGAGGAAATATGTTTCATTGTTTTCTTCCTCAGGCCCCATCTCTCCTGAGCTGGACCCTCATTACCCTGTCTCCCACTGTTAAGGCAGTAGTGAGTTCTTTTGTTATCAAGTACCCAACTCTAATATTTCATTACTACACAATTACTTCAAGAACATGTTTTGTCTTATCTCAACAAACCAAGCGCTGAGGTGGGATTAAAGTCTATGTGTGTGCTTGAGCACATTTGCATGCATTAGAGCTGCTATTTTACAACCAGATAGAACAATTGAGTTCTTTGCTCACTGCCAAGCAGCATGACTTCTGTGGCCATCCGTGTCTTTGAACTACACAGTTCAGATCCAGAACTTCTAGCTATTGTATTTTGTATTTGTTATTGAAACTGATAAACAGGCTTATCATTCCTATGGAACATTGCCTTCATGAAAGGCCGAAGGGTGAGGGGAGAGAAAGAAAGAGAAGGAGAAAATCAGTGCAAAGACCTTGAATGGGAGTCTGCTATCAATTACAAACCAGCACAGGGTGGGCAGGGCTGGAAGGACATGCTCATGGCAACCCATGCTGCTTAGCAGCCCAACAGCTGTGTTTGGTACCATACGGAATCTTTTCGGAGCATGTGGCTCTGTTTTTAGACTTAATGTGTCGTCGTATGCAATCTCAGAGGTTACAAATGTGTGGATTAGCAAAATTATGTCTCCCTCTGATGGGATGGAGCACATTTTGAAAGCTGGAGAGAGGACTTCTTACAAGGGCATGTAGCGATAGGACAAGGGGTAGTGGCCTTAAGCTGAAGAAGGGTAAATTTAGATTAGATAGTAGGAAGAAATTCTTTACTGTGAGGGTGGTGAGGCACTGGAACAGGTTGCCCAGAGAAGCTGTGGATGCCCCATCCCTGGCAGTGTTCAAGGCCAGGTTGGATGGGGCTTTGTGCAACGTGGTCTGGTGGAGGGTGTCCCTGCCCATGGCAGGGGGGGTTGGAACTAGATGATCTTTGAGGTCCCTTCCAACCCAAACTGTTCTATGATTCTATTATTCTATTCAGCCAGAAGTGGAAGATGACTTTTGTTTCCCTGGTTGGTTGTATCTCTAAAAACAAAGATCAATTTCAGTTTTAGAGCATGGTAGGAAAGGAAATGAGACCTTGGCTTATAACTACTTGAGCTCATTTGCCATACTAATGGGAACTTAAATTATACTGCTAAAGCATTTAGGAATGAGGGATGAATAGAAGATATTTCACATGATTTTTTAAACATGGATAAGTGTTAGCATCATAATATGTATTTGTAACGAACCCATCTAAAGTACTCATTTTGAAAAAAGTGTTGATGTGAAGGACACCCACAGGTTTTCAATTACATCTAATGACAGCAGAAGAGAAAATATTCAGTACATGTCAGCTGTTGATTAGACTTCAGCCTGGCACAGGTGTCACAGCAGGTAGATGCTTCTCTCTGCACTAGCTTGTTTCTTGCTGTTATCTACCATGGACCTGAGGTTGCAGTGAGGTTGCCACTTTAATGTTTTACTGAAGTGGCAGCATTCCCATGGCTTTTTTTTTCTTTGTTAAATGAATTAATCAAAGAAACATATATTGCCTGTTTTGACAGAGATGCACATTGCCTGGCAAAGAATGGACCTTGGTTTCATGTTTTGTTTCATTGTTTCATTGTTCCTTTGCACATATTCCTGGAACTGCAAGCTTTCCGCTGCTCTCAGACTATATTATTTATTTTGCATTCACCTTTCACAGTTTTGATGTAGAAAAGCAAAAATTTTTGGTATTAAACAAACTTTAAGAGAGCTTAGAAATTTAATCCTCTTTTCACTGTAGTTTTGAGAACAATTCACAGTCAGTAAATTGTAACACATACACTTCTTTCCAAGTTTGATTTCTTTTGATTATGCCTGAATACTGTTTCTGTGTCCTCAAATGTGCTACTACTACTACATGACATTATCGATCCCAAGATAACAAAGCTTAATCCGTAAGACATCAAATGAGAGTTCTGCCACCAGCCTGCTGGGTGATCTTCGACAATGCAAAGCTCCTCTTTGCATTTCATTTTCCCTATTCATTGCATCTTTGTGATCATTGTGAGATCTATTCACAAAAAATATTTTAAAAAATATTGAAAAGGGCAAGATAGGATGAATACTACAGTAAAACATCCTTTGCAGCTTGTAGTGCCATAAGTTAAATAACCATATTGCCATTACTACCAGCACGACTACTACTACTCAGTAGCAATCAATACCATTTGAGTTTGAATTCCTGAGTATTCCAGAAGCACAAAATACTCACAATGTCAATGAAGGGCTTGGAACATCTGTGAGCTCATTGTATCCAAATTTCCTAACCTTCTATTTCGTTGCCTAAATAAAATATTTTTATTTTTTTAAACAGCTGCAAGAACACACAGACTCCTAAACAATAAACAGTCTGTACGTTTTGTTTTTCTATTGAGGGCAGGAGGGAAGATCTTTCATGCAATTTTAGGTAAAATAGCTTAATAAGACTAACTTCTGCAATGGTAGTATCATTTCAAATATATATACTTTTTTCTGAAAGCTCTAAAGCAAAAGTTAAATGTGGGGTATGCACAGACGGTAAATGCAAGTCTGTCTCACGGCAGGAAAATTTTTGACAAGGAGTGGCCATTAAATTGATTTCTTTAACAGTGGACTTAATTATCCAACTGATTAAAAGGCATATTATTGGATTAAAGGAATGTATGGTTTTGTTTGCAGATATGTTTTATTTTCTTCACCCACCTTTTGTGGACATGATATGAATACTTTATTTCCAGTCTTATTTCTCCCAGTCAGAAACTAAGGCAGGCTTCTATGAATGATTTCACTGTCAGATTATAAAATAGTGTGTTTTTTAAAATTTAGAAGTCTATTAGATAAAATTGCAGTTTCATCGCCTGGGAGAGGCCCCATGGTTTGCACCACCTGATAACTACAAGTATGTACAAGACTTGCACACAGCTGTTGCGACGGGAATTTTATCCTGTGATACCGCGTTGTTTCCACTAGGTGGGTGTCATAAGTAATTAAAGGATCCAAATATATCAGCTAGGATTTGGCTTGTACTGCTGAACGAAAATGTCTTTTATGTAAATATGCATAAAAAAAAAAATGTTCAGTTCTACAGTCAAATGGGGAGTGTGAATACAGCACTGGTTTGCCAGCAACATAGGTTTATATTAAAAAGTTTCTAAAATGCTACAGCAGTTGTGTCTTGTTTAGCTCTTACTTACTATTTGCTAACACTTTCAGATAGAAAAGCTTGTAGAAATGTAAATGAAAAATGTGTATATTACACTGAAAATCAAATTATTTGTTTCTTTGGCTGAATCACAAGTCTTATTAGCAAGAAATGGCACTGCTGATCACACTGTATCAAATGAACTCAGAATCAGAATGGGGAATTGAAGACTTTCACACAAGTTGTTTGCTCTTTCTTGCTACCTACACTGAAAAAATTTAAAAGTTTAAGTTACAAAATAGGATAGACTCTTTATTTTGCCTGGACAGAAATTGTGGCAAGTCAGCTGTGGTTGCTTCCTATTTATCTTTCCACTCCTGTTAAGTTTTAAGCCACAGCAAGAATATGCTGTGAATTAAACAGTTCATGTTCAGTGACAACCCAAAAGTTATTATCTCCCTAGCATGTTGCTCAGCCTCCTTGCATTTTTGGTGGAGGGTGGTCTTTGGAAAGGAAGGAGCGTGGAAGCTGTTACTGAGGGCATGGGAACTGTTTTGCTACGGTTTCACAGAAAGGGGCCATTTAAAGACAGAATTTTCCACTGTTGTTCTGTAGCCAGCTTCGGGCACTTTGCACAATGCACACAAACTGAAGCTGCTTTTAGTGACTGGACCGTTTGGCACAGCACACATCACAGAATTTTCTGTCTTCAAAGAGCTTTGCTGCAACTCCAGAGATGCCAAAGCAATGAAAAAAACAGTGCTAATTCAGCAAGCTTTGTGTCTGCATCTTGACAAAATGTTTTATGACATTAGCGGATACTGTTTATCCTCAGCGCCTGGCTTCTTCAGTGTTCAGGGATGACAAACATGACATGAGATGAAAGTTCAGCTTTTTCTCCTTTTTTGGTTGTTCATCATGTTTGCATGTCTTGCCCACCGTGTATCATCCAGACTCTGTACTCAGATGGGGATAAAGGTAGTGAACTCTCTTGAGCAACTTGTAAACAGTCATGGCTGATCTTCCCTGTGCTCCTAATAGGACAAGAAGTAATAACATCACAAGCAGCCTCTGAGAGGATTACTAATTACTTGCTTCAGGCAATACTAAGACTCTGTGGCAAGGACAGGAGAGGTTCTGGATCCTGGATCTCCGCAGCTCTGCATTGTTAATGACTGCACAGCTTCTTTACTCAGTGAAAGAAACCCTCTGTGGACTTCCTTTTGAGTCCTTAAATAACACTCTCCTACTCTCTGCAAGGCTGCTAAAAGAAAAATGGGGAAGATCTGTGTACAAAATATAGCTTTTACATAAGGAGTAATGGCATCATAATGAATATGCACAAGAGCTTGTAATTATGGCTGCATAGAAAATCTTGATGTTGGTGTTCCTTATTACTGAGAGTTTAGCAATTTAATTCTATAGCTTTTTGTTCGGGATTTTTGTTTTGTTTTGGTTTGGGGTTGTTTTGTTTTGTTTGGAGAAGTAAGCAATAGTAGAAGAGGGAAGGAAATAAATTCCACCCTGAAATAAGAATTAACTAGACTTTTTAAGAATACAAATTCCCCTTTAAGTCTCTCTCCCCCTTTAGCCTATCCTATCTTGGTAAACCAAATTAACTGATCCTCTATGGACTCTTTATCTTTTAAGGCCATCTTTGAACATTACAGAGGGACAAGTAAGTTCTAGAGGAGCAAAGTATGTCACCCATCAAAGGAGTCCATTGTCCTAGTGTCAAGCAATCTCTCCAGCCATCTGACTGCTATGACCTACCTATGCATCTCGATGTCCTTACTTCCCAGAATTCTCATCCTGCATTTTCACCTG